TACATCCCACGATTTGAGAAAATCAATGACAATCGGTTATGAAGAAAACGTGGTAGTAAGAGTTACAAATGGTAGTTATTGGCCAGTCAGCCACTATGAAAGAAATGGATAGTTACAAACAGAGTCCAAACGGTTAAGAACTGTCCAAGGAGTATAAAAGGAAGAGGAAAGCAATGAAGAAGGCCCCGACAAAATTCACTCTCAAACAGAGAATATGTAATTTATTTTTTCTTATATTAATTTTAATTAATTCATCTCCTTGTACTTGTGTGCTTGCGCCCCTTGGAGGCAATTTGTTCGTATCCAAACTGTAATCTTCATATTCGATAAACACCCTTTTTTGTGTCTTTGTTCCAAAAGGTTTGTCCCTTACACAATCGTTTGATCCTCTTTTAATTCATATTCGATAAACACCCTTTTTTGTGACTTTGTTCCAAAAGGTTTGTCCCTTACACAATCGTTTGATCCTCTTTTAATTGTTAGCGAGTAACCACGCGAAACACCAACAGTTTTTCAAGATAAATTCAGATTCGACTGCCTCCCTTGTATTCTACATTTTTTAATTCTCGCTGCCCCGTGTTCACTCTCATGGCACATATGTATTTGTATATATAAGAATTAAATACTTCACTTTTTTTTTTTTTAGATTTGAGTGTTGAATGTTATCTGTGAACAATGAGTTTGCAAAGGAGACAGTGGCCTCCGATTTCTATTAGGAATCTGGAGAAACAGCGTATAACATTATTTCATTCATCCTACTTTAATTTTTTTAGCAAAAATATTGTGGAAATCGGAAAAAACTGTGACCGGTTCGCCGGTTTCCGCGAACCGGCCGGGTTCACCGGTTTCTTTACATCCGATTTTTCTCCCATGACTGGACCAAAATTCGGTCAGATTCTCGATTTTCCAGGTTGAACTAGTCGGTCCGGTCCGGTCCAATTTTGAAAACATTGGTTTTAATCATAGCCGTTTTTAGAAGAAAGTAACTCAAATTTATAGCCGAACAAAAGTTTCGCTTGAATAATTTTGTTCTCGTCTTCCTCCTCTGCCCTCTTCTCAAAGTATGAAAGCTTACAGAAGCTTTTGTTAGGCTAGTCTTACAGATAGTGACTTACCAATACAATGAATGGTTTTACTATTTTTCGCTTATCCTTATCCCCCTCTCCTGGGGTTGGTATTTTACATCCAATAGTTTCATGCCTTGGAGGCAAAACTTGGAATATATTTTTGTGGATCAACCATGTTTTCAAAATCGAACTGAACCGACTGGTTTGATCGGAAAAACTTGGAATTGGACCGAAATTCGGTCCAGTGATAGGAGACAAAGCTTTCTGCTATTTTTTCACCACGCACAATTTTTAGCACTCCACTGATATCCCGTGCTTGAGCAATATAAGAGTTCCAGGACTGTGTACAATCTACTCAACCATGGATCTTTCGGTGAATTTTGTCTTTGATTGTAACTAGATTAAAAAGATTTTTTTTTTTCTGAATAAAAAGGGTTGAAAAATAAAAAGTAGTTTATTCATGTTAATTTTTCTCTTTTGCAGATGTATCTTTGGAAAAAGAACCTTTTTTCCTCAAAAATACATTGCAAATTATTTTATTGGATGCCCTTTCTCCTTTCAGAAATTCTTTATATCTAATTTACTGTGCTGGACCTTCCAACATGCCTTATTATCAGGTCATCCCTGGGGAGGTTGTCCAGGCTCTCTTCTCAGCTTGCAGAAGTGGTAACTTTGACTTGGCAGAGATGGATGTCCGGAGTAGAATTGCCTATGGATATCCAGTTTCTCAAATGCTTTCAGGTTTCATTGCATATTTTGCATTATTCATTGTACGTTTAGTTGTGTTTACTGCTAAATGCTAATCCAATGCTTCTTTCAGTTGCATGAGATGATTCTCAAAGCAGATGATGTATCGGACGAACACAAAGCAAGAATATGCAAGAAATTTGCTGAGGCAGATAAGGTCATTCTTCTTGAATAGTTGCATTTAGCCATGCCTCGAGTTCAATGTTTGTGAATTGTGATGCTTTCTTTTCAGTTTTCTTATGCTACTAATGTTTGGCTAAGCTTATAAAGTTAACTTATAAGTAAATAAGCGAGTGTTAAAATAATTATTTTTATATTGATCAAAGTTGAAAATAAGCAATTTACTTATTTTTAACAGTAAGTTCACAACAAGAATAGTTAACTTTTTTCCTTAAAAATGAGAAATCCGTAAATTATCCAAAACGGTAACAAAAAGTTAATTAAATGTAACTTTTACTTTTGTTTAAGCTTAGCAAACCACTCTCAATGTTTCTCAGCATTAAACATTTCATGACACATTTTCTGAGTCTAGATGGAATTTTATATATCAAAATCTAGCTAGTTCTGCCTTTCTCGATAATTTTTCACCAAATTTTAGTTCATAATTATCCTAAACTGAACTCAACAAGATGATAGAATAACAGGCTGAATCAATGTACTCGTTAAAAGTCAGAGAACAGTTTCGATAACTGCACGAAATATTGTGTACCAGCAAATGCAGAAATAATTTTATCGTTTTCTTGGCCATCTGGCGAAACATTATTTCTGCTTTTGTGTCATTTGCAGTATCTCGTTGATGGAGCGGACGAGTATTTGCAGCTTTTGGATGTAGCTAGTAACATCATGTGAGCAGTTTGTAACATGCCACAAGAATTTTCTTTTGGGAATCAGGTATCTATTTATCTTATCATGTAGTAATTTGAGCCTTTCAGTATTAGTTAAAGATATTTACCATTACAAGAACCATGTTGGAATTGTTACAAGGTGTATTGTTCAATTCTTTCGAATTTACTGGATTCTTTTCTGTGTTCAAGAATCCCCTCTCTTCTTCCACTCTGTCCCGAAGAGTAACTAGGGCCGGGTGGTTTCTAAGTCCTCATTGGGTACTTGTGGATTCAAGGGTACGAGAAGATGGACGCCCTTTACAGTGGTTTTATCTACTTGATAGTGAGAGATTAGAATGTATTGAGCTATATATATTTAGCCCATGGTTGGTAGTGATTTTAATCTAAGTTAAAGTCAAAAATCAATTTTAATCACATATTTTATGGGATTCACAATTTTTCAACTTCACATCTCATCAACTTTTATCAAAATCTACTAAAAATTTGATATTAATCCTCACAAAACAGGAGCTTACTATTATTTGCAACTTTTGTAATTGAGCCTTTGGGAATGAGTAATGCTATTTGTAAGTAGTGTTGATCAATGTAACAATTACTTTACTTTCACATAGACCATTGTTGGTAAGCACAGTTTACAAATAACATTACTTGTTGAAGGATTCACATAGTCAACTTCAAATTTGTCAACAATAAGTTTTATGGTTCTCTGAGCATAAAATTTTAGGAACTTGAGTCGAGTTCATGATCTTAGTGACTCAGTGAGTTTGTCTTCGAGTCCAAATGTGCCATCTACTAGTGCTGGTTTGTGTTTGGATGTGAACTTGATGGTGTTGTCAAGGGTGGTGCTCTTAACAAACTCGTTATACTGATCGATTTTTTTTTTTTAACAATCTTGGCGTTATTAGAATTTTATATTGTTTTTTTGTTGCCCAGTTAATACAGAGATAGTTCCTTTTAACCTTAATTTTAGTCATTCGTATTTGATAAATCGAATTAGGAGGAAATGGAACAATTTCTGTATTTCAATGCAATTGGCATTACAATATGCCGGCAGCGTTCAATGCCGAAGACATCATGGACCGGCATTAATAGAGGTCGAACACATGACTAATTGACTCACAAATTTGGAGACCATCTAAGCAAAAATATAAGTTGGCGACCAAACCGACTCATTTTACAAGATTGGTGACCAATAGAGTTTCTAATTAATTATGAAGACGACGAGCTATATATCTCTTGTAGAGTTTGTAGGTAGATTTATATGCACTCAACATTCGATACATTATTGGGGGGTGAAAGTAGGGATGGATCCAAGATTTTTTATAGGGGGGGACGGGAAGTAATTAATAAAGTGAAAGTAATAAAATTTATATATACTAAAAAAATCGTTAAAGAACGTTATTTATTTAAGTCGTTCTTGACGATGATTTGAATTATAATATTCATCTCTAATAGAATTTAGATTTATTTTCTCAACAAGTTATCTTTTTATAAAAAGTATCATACAATCAGCAAGAAAGTCATTCTCTATTTTGCTGCAAAGTGTCATTTTCACGTTTTCCATTGCTGAAAATGTTTGTTCAATACTTACGGTAGAAAAGGGTTATGTCAATACAAGACGAATCAATTTAGTCACCGTAACTTGGTAACTCATATTTCAAGTCATCTTTTAAGAAATAGACAAGATGTAGGATATATTTCTATTCACTTACAAAATCAACTATTTGATAAAAATCATCTAATGCAATGCAATGCCAAAAAAAAAAATCATCATTACAATTTCCCACAAATGAAAACAAAAAAAAAAGGTACTTACAAAAATACCCTTAAAATTAGGGATGTTTTGAAAAATCATATGAAATGTTTTTAGAAAATAAAAAATACTGTGTAAAATGAAAAAGTGACACAATGTCACTTTTTTTTATAAAAATCGNACCGTCTAAAATGAAAAAGTGACACAATGTCACTTTTTTATAAAAATTGTCACTTTTTTTAAAAAAAGTAGCAAAACTAAAAATAAAAAAAAAAAAAGTGACACACTTTCAAAAAGTGATACAAATTCAAAAAAGTGACAAATACCAAAATAGCATTATCCATTTGTACAACACCAATAATCATATTCTTAAAATAATCAGCATGTCCAGGCCAATCCACATGCTGATTATGTTAGGAAAATATAATATATTATTTCACTTTTTTTATCTTCTTAAAAAGTGACAAACTTAAAAGGTGACAGGAACCTAAAATGAGTGACAAAATTTTAAAAAGTGACATAACGTCACTTATAAAATTGACGAGCAACTTTGAAATACTTATATGGTAATTCATAAAATAAAGTAAGTGTCAATATGATTCAATCTCACTTTTATAAAAAAAATGATTTTGTTAGTCAAAAAAGTGACCAAAAAACCAAAAAAGTAATAGAAAATAATAACAAACACTATAAAAAGTGACTGAAACTCAAAAAAAGTGACAGAACTTAGAAAAAACAGTAGTTAGTTAGCAATCAAGAACTGTAGGCGAAAAATGGAAAACAAATATTTTCCCCTTTAGATACATAACATTAATTGTACGAAAAATGGAAAACATGTTGTGAAGTATCAGAACGCAAATATAATTCATAACCAAAAAAATCTTACAAAGCATCAATAGTTCTATAGGTTCTATCCAAGATTACAAGTTCTGTATAACTCCAAATCTAAGGAAAAGTAAGGACCATCATACTATAAAACTTTGCAATAAAAATACAGAAAATAGCGTCTCTATATAAGCTGAAACATCATGCTCACCCATAGAAGCTGTTTACATTCCCTAGAAACATTCTATTATAACCTATAGGTGGTGGTGGATTTTTTCACAATAATCATTCACAACTTTCTCCCAATTCCATCTCTAAGTTATAATCGAAAACAAAAGCGTAAAAGGTGTACTGGATTTGAATTTCAGGGAAATCGTGGGGCTGCATTTCCTTCTTCCTCTGTTTGTCTTGCTCTGGTCTTCATCTTTCCTTTCTTCCTCACTTCAATTGGCCTCCTTGCTTCTCCTCATAACAAGTCAATATGTCTAAACGACCATTAGTTACTCATATATGATATAGCAATCCTAAATAAGCAATAAGCAGAAAATTGGGACTGTAAGTAGGGACTCAAATAGGGACGCAGAGGACATATGGAGGAACGTAGGCTTGAATATGCTTCCCCCTAAATTGTCATTCAATTCATGCAAATAGAGAGAAACAATGACATGTGAGTGTTTATGTGTGTATATTCTATGTATCATACAAAAATCATGGCATAAGTAACACAAAAATGCATTTGGAGCAATTAATCGAACACTATATGCACAGTAATTGAAATGAGTAAGATTTTCTCATGATTCTATATTAAATCCAAATATTCCACAACCAATCCACAAAACCAACATCAACTACGCCCATACTCCCAACAAAACTCAAAAAATTCCAACCATGAATAAGAATTTAAGACAAAGAAGAAAAATTTCGAAACCCATAAAGTTGAGTCAATTTACCTTTGATTTCTTGAAATTCTTATGGACGGAAGTGTGAATTCGTGGATGAATGATGTTAGAATATAATTAATCTTCAAAGCCCACCAAAATTTGGAGAAAAAAGAGACGACGGTGATGAAAAATTTGAAAAAATCGTGAGTGAAGCCGGGTCTTTGTGTCTGTGTGTGTATATAATTGAATGGGGTGGGTTTTGGGACGTATACATTACGATGATTAGAGGTTTAAATTTATGTTAAATGTATTAATCTAATTGGTTTCTATTTTAGAGTAGTGAGCCTAATTTCCTCAAAAAAATTAAAGAATAAAAAAATCTACCCAATGATGAATGGCCCAAACCAGATTGGCAGATTCTCCAGCGGCCCAGCCTAAGGTATTTAAATAGAACTAAAATTATGAATTACAAAAACAACTAAACCGGCAAGAAAGAGTACAAACAAACCTTTGTAGTCTTGGAGAAGAATTGAGGTACAATTACGAGGGTTTGAACTTTGAACAAATGACGATTGGGAATTTGGGATTTGAGATTTGGGTTATTTAGCTAAAACAGCCTGAAATATTAGCTAAATTGATTAATATACTAATCACTAATTAAATAATTTTAAAACGTAATTAATACGTTATAAAACCTCCAAATCCCCTCAATATATCTTTCGCCAGATTGTCATCGCAAAGAATTAGGAGGCACCACATTATAATCAAATTTTGTATGTTGTTTACCTCATTTCTCTCCATTAATGGTGAGAAAGTGAAGAAGATATTCTAGAGATAATTGTACGCAATCGTCAAGATTTACGAGATAAAAAGTTTTTAGGCATTTCGCCTTCAACATTTGAACACTGACACGCCCTCCAACACCACCAAAAAACTGCTCTTCGAGCTTTCTCCTTTTCTAACAATCTATATAGACGGTACAATCGAGAGGTTCGTGGACACACCTAATGTCTTGTCATCACCGAATGACCCAACCACTAGCTTGTGGTAGTATTTCAAAATCCATTTCAGCGTGCCCCTCTTTAATTCATATGGTTTAGTCTTAGTTTCATTTTTCTTCCCAAAATGTTTGATAATTGTAGATTTGGCCCATGTTTGAGCTACATTCTCATTCTTTTACTCATTTTCAACCACACGTTCTTCAATAAAATAATATTTTCCATTACATCAATATATGTTCCTTTTTTTTAACATAATATTCACCATCACATCACAAAAAAAAATGTAGTTTCTCCTAAAAAAAGTGCATCAATATTGAAGTTTTTTTTTTATTTTTTTAACATATGATAGGAATTTGTGTCCAATTTGTAGATAAAAGTTGCCGACTGAATAGTAATAACTATGGTAATAGCATATTGACCCAAGTAAAGTGTTAGAGGAGTAAAGGAGGTGGAGAATGTTGATTAGACTCTTGGATTGACAATATGGAGATTACCTGGAGATGGGTTTGTTGTAGGCTGATTTTCGGGAGGGAAGAGGGATAGGGAGAAGCAGTTGCCATTGGTATATAAGGGATTGGATGGTGGGTTTAATAATAATGGTGTTCGGAGAATTTGTTCACTCTATTTATTATAGAATTGTTGTATATTGGATACGAGTTGTAAATATAGATCATCATTAGTCATCTGTTAGACTAACTGTTTAATGTGTTATTGGATAATCACTTTTTTCAGATTACCAATTTGATGAAATACTATGTTGTAAAGGAATCATAATGTGACATGGTTCCATTTATTCTTCAAAAGAGGCGTTTCTTTTGAAGTTAGAATTGATTTTTCTTGATACATAACTGCATGAAACGATCCTTGAACAAACATATATTGGTCTGCAAATCATTAACAAATCTCTATGGTTGACTACGTTCATGTTCCCCTTTAGTGTTCTTGTGAAATGTTGAATTATTAACACGAACGTAATTTGTCACGTTTTTGAATTTTCGTCACTTTTTTAAGTATATGTTATTTTTTTGATTTTATGTAACTTTTTTGAGTGTTTATCACTTTTTTTTTTTAAAGTTTTTGTTACTTTTTGAAATTATTCACTCTTTTGTAGGACAAATATCAATTCTTAATAATTTTTTTAATAAAAAAGTGACACCTAACTTTAAACAGTATTGGTTTTTTTTTTACTTTAAAGAAGCTTTTTATATGATTAATGGGTTGGCTGAGTTGGTAGATAATGGTAATGGCGAATTGAATTTAATATACTTGACATTTTGATTGGTGTTTTGTCGGTGAACAGATTTAAAGGTGTTTGGCGGTGAACGGAGAAAGAGGAGGGACAGTGGTTGTGTCACTTTTTTCATCATTTTATTGAACTAATTCCAATGTTTTAATTGGTATTTTGTCACTTTTTTGAATTTTTGTCACTTTTTTAGTATTTATTATTTTTTTAATGTCTGACACTTTTTTCCATCACTTTCTTGAAATTTCTTCACTTTTTTAATAACAAACATCATTTTTTTAATTAAAAAAACATTGTATATCTTTTTTATTTAAAAATGTGACGCTTAACTTTAAAAAATGACACTGTGTCACTTTTTTTTTTTTAAAAAAAGGTGACAGTTAATTTTCACAGTATTTTTTACTTTTAAAATACTTTTCATATGATTTTTTCAAAAAATCCCTAATTTTAAGGGTAGTTTTGTAAGTTGCCCAATATTGTAGCAATTAGGTTTTCAAAAAAAAAATAAAAAATGGTGAGTTTAATTGGAATGGGCTGAATTCTTTAACTGGACTTGTACAAAGAAAAAATAAAAAATGGGCAACTTACGAAAATACCTCTAAAATTAGAGATCTTTTGAAAAATCGCTGGAAAAATATTTTAAAAAGTAAAAAAATATTGTGTAAAATTAAGTGTCACTTTTTTTATATAAAAAGTTACACGATATCACTTTTTTAAAGTTAAGTGTCACTTTTTTTATTTAAAAAGTGGCACATCATTAAAATAGATGTTTGTCACTCACAAAAGTGACAAAAAATTGAAGAACGTGAGAGAAAAAAAAAAGAAGTAAAAAATATCGTCTAAATTAAGTGACACGATATCGCTTTTTTTTTTTAATTAAAAAAAGTGACGCAATGTCATTTTTCTAAGTTAAGTATCACTTTTTTACAGTATCATTTTCATTAAAAAAAAAAAGGATGTTTGTTATGTAAAACAATCACAGAAATTTCAAGAAAGTGAGGGAGAAAAAAAGGGATTACACTAAAAAAACTAAGAAACGCCAATCAAAACCTAAAAATAGATTCATGATTGGTTGGTTTTATTCTACAAGTTGTCTATTTATGATTATATTTTACTTTTATTAATTAAATATAAGACATAACTTCATTTTGGGAACAAACACTATATAAGCAGGAAGTAATATAAATTAAAAAAAAAAGACAGAAACTCAAAAAGTAACGAATTATGTTCATATCAACAATTCAAAACTAGAAATGGAGTCTTGAAACAAATCTTCCTTTGTCAATGTCAATTCATTGATTATTTCATATTACCTTTGCATGCTCAAACAAGAAACACTACTAAAATTCATGGATTTTACGGCAACCCAAACACAACCTTCTTATTCCTTCACTTTCACCCATATTCATTCTTCAATTTCTATTGTGGCCTCACACATTTCGTTTTACAAAATCCATTCACTACCTCAATTTTCACCATTCATTCACAACTCTTCTTCTCACCCAATTTCCAATTCTCTTTCTAATTTTCAACCAAAACTCAATCAAAACTGCTAGAAAACAAAAATCTAAATTGCAATCCCGTTGCTTCATCTTTACTTATCAAGAACTTCAACTCTCTATGATTTCACAATTGATTGCTCTACCTCCGTTACCGCCTCAGTCGCCTCCTCCACCACGTCGAACCACCATTATTTATCTGACTTTGAATCTGAAATTGAAACCACCAACACAATCGATTTAGCCACGACCTTCACTTCCCAATACTTCTTCTTCTCCTCCCTCGTCCTCTCCTACTCCATTGTAGACCCAATATCAGCGTTATCATTACTCGCATCAACCTCATCTTCCTATTGTCCTTCCAACGTACTTTGTGGACCCCTTCATCCACTTTCGTCGATCCACGCAAGGAATCGCGTGAACTTATTGATTTAAAATCTAACTGGGATTACTTGCTTTAGCTTCTCATGCACTATCCATCCATAAACCCCCGAGAGCACCCCATAAATTCATCTTCAAAGCTTGGTTGGGGAGGGGAGTTTATAACATATTTAGTCCCTGCTTGAGCCACATTAAAATTTTCATTCTCATTCTTTTATTCATTTTCAACCACACATTTTTCAATAAAATAATATTTTCCATCACATCAATAATTTTTTCTTCTTTTTCGACCACACATTCTTCATCAATCTATTATTTCGAAATACATTTTTCCAAAATAATATGACTCGGACACACACTTAATATGTTCTTATATATTTTATTAATTATTGGGAGTATTAATCAAATTAGCATATGTTTGATATACATTCTTTCAAAATACATTCTTTTAAAACTCATTTTCAATCACACATTTTTCAATAAAATAATAGTTTACATCACATCAATAATTTTTCCTTACTTTTTAACAACATATTTCTCATTATATCACTATTTAAAATACATTATTTTCTCAATAATATCCATCAAACATACTCTTAATTAATATTTTAGGGCATTGGACCTAATTTGCCCATAAAAAAAATAACAAACAATTTGGATTTGGGTTGAAAATGAATCATACTCCGTCTCTGGGTGAAAGTAAGAGAATTTTGTCTAGACAAATATTATTGATGTGAGGATTTAAAAATTAAATGCTTGCAAAAATTTTAAAAAGTTGAAATTTGAAAGTTAAGCTCCTTGTACATACAAATAAGTACTTATTTTCACTTTTGTAATATTAAGGTCCTGTTTGAGTCACCTTTTTTTAGAATGAGAATGAAAAATATAGATGTTATTGGAACTCAAGATAAAAAAATTGAATTTAAATATTGATGTGATGAATAACAGCCATATTTTTCATTTTAATAAGATAAAAAAGTGGCCCAAACGAAATATGATATTCATCCCCAGTGGAGATGAATCCCCAGTCTATGTGGATGTAAATGATTGGTTAAATGATAGGTGAAATTAAATGACTTATTTAATTTCACATATCATTTAATGCCACATTAACGCCACGTAGACTGGGGATGCGTCCCCAGTAGGGATGAATAGCATTTCTCGGCCCAAACGGGGCTAACTTATTTTCGTCATTTTTGCGTGCTTGGACAACGTGCTAGTGTTTCAATGCAGCAAAAGATCCGCTCCGGTTCAAATTCGAATTCAAATTCTACACGCTAAAACAACATTCTCTTTTCTCACCCAACCAATCAAAATATGCCAAGTCAATCGTAATTTAAAATTAGTCATTTCTCATTGGCCCTTCACTAAACCACATGTCATCAAACAAAGCCCACATTCAAACATACGGCTCCTGTGGGCCCCATCTCTAACGAATACCCAAACCTAATTCAACGGTCCAGATCTTCCTCAATTCAAATCAGCCCTTTTTCCCCGCCTCAAAAGCACCCATCAAACCCTATATTATATGATTCTTCTTCACTTTCCATTTCTACAGAAATCCATGAAATGTGTTGGAATTCAATTTTTGAAACCCTAAAGCGTAAAATTTCACTTGGGTTCTTGAAAATTTCTTTTTAAAACCCAACCTTCAGCCTCAAATTTTGAGTTTTGCAATTCTCATGTTTAGATAATCCATTCTACGGAATGGATGTTTAATTTCAAATTCTGAAACTCTATAGCGTGAAATTCCAGTAGGGTTCTTGAAAAATCCTTTTTAAAATCCTGTTTTTCGATTCAAAATTTCAGTTCTTGACACTGTTTATACATAATAATGGCGAGTGCTGGTAGGAGGTCTACGTCAGCTACGGCGTCATCACTGGCGAAGCGGCATGCGTCATCATCATTGGGATCGGAGAATTCTGGGAAGGGGGCTACGGCGGCTAACGCTTTGCCATCTCAGCATGCGCCCAAGAAACGCCCGGCGCTATCGAACATCACCAACCAGCGGCATGGTTCTGGGCATCCAAATCTGGGGCGGAACTCCCTGCCCGAATCATCAAAAATTGTATGTGCAACTGTTGATATCTTTCATTTGTTAGTTTGTATGGTAATCATGCATGTATATATTGTATATACACGTTTTCTGAAAAATTCACACTATAATAAATACCCTTTTAGGAATGTAAGTATACATATATGCACACGATCGTACCTTCAAAACTTTTTTATTTTTTTTTTCCTTTTTATTTACTGAATGTTGAATCCAAAAATTCTAGTTCAATTATGTTGGGAAATTTGGGATTAATTTTGAGGATATTTATTGTTCTGGAGAAGAAAATTTTAATTTCTTGGCTTCTTCTTTGGTGTCTTTGTTGTATAAGGCAGAGACACCACAAACCAAGCGTGTTTTGGGGGAAATTTAGGATTTATTCATTTATTTATTTTTATCTTTTTGAACTGTAATTTCGTTTTCTGGTCACCGTTTTCTGCTTAGTTTGACAGTTTTGTCCCATTCTATTCTTATGCTCTGTCTTGATAAAGAGTATTGTCACAAACCAATACAGAATAGCTTGATTACTTTTTTTCCCTTGAATTTGTAATGCATCTTCCTTAATTTGCATCTTTTCGGAAGCGCAAATTGTTTAGAGCTTTCGGTTCTAGAGAAATTAGAAAATGTTATTTATTGATGATACCGTGAACAAATATTCAAATTTCATGGAGGATGCTCTCTCGTAAGTTTGCGGGCTCAGAGTTGTCACTGAAAGTAGAGCTTCTCTTTTCTAATTTTGGGATTTTGGCTTTTGGAATTGATATATTAAAAAGAAGAAATAATATAAAAATGTTTTGCAACTGAAGAAATCAAAATGTGCCACTTTACAAATTTATTTTTGAACTTGAATGCTGCTCTTCTTCCAGAATTATGTGATTAATTTGAACTATGTAGGTACCATGCATTTCAAAAATTGTAAGCGTCAGGAAGGGGTCTTCGACTTCCACAAAAGCAAGCTTCTCAGGGCCTACTTTGTCAGGTTCTCTTGTAAAACCGAGTGTGGTTGCTTCTAGTAAAATTACTTCTTTCCCAAAAAGTGATGCAGTGCTCTCCAAGATTATCGTTGCATCTGCACCATGCAGTATGGATGTTTCTCCAGATCAATCAGATGGACTATCAATTTCAATGGATGAGTCTATGTCTACCTATGATTCCTTGAATAGTCCAGAAGTAGAATACATAGATAATAATGAAATAGCAGCAGTTGATTCCATCGAGAGAAAGACATCCAACAAACTCTGCATCTCAGAACCCGTTGAAGTAGCAGGTAGTTCATTATTTTCACTTCACCGATCCTAGTTTTGTTTCCATGTCTTGGCCAATTGTGCAACATAGACAATTTTACAGTACACTTTAATTGTCTTGATAGGTAGGTTCGTGTCACGTTGATTTTCATGGTGTGTAATTCATTTTATGGATTGGACGTGCAGGGAACATATGCAAACGAGAAATACTTGCTGCAATGGACTCTGATGATATGATTGTCGATGTTGACGGCAATCTAAATGACCCGCAGCTATGTGCAACCATTGCTTGTGATATTTACAAGCACCTGCAAGCATCTGAGGTTAGAATTCTATTTTTCCATTTTGAAAATTTGTTGAAACACTTAACTAGCATTGAAACATGACAAATAAAGATCTATCTATTATCTCTATAGTTCAAGTAATCCTTTTTAGCCTAGTCTTGTGAGCAATCTGTTACGTGTCGATGTGCCAGGCTAGCATGTAAAGACCTGTTGCATATATAATGGTTGAAAGATTAATTTTATATCACTTCTATTATTCAAAAACTTTTCAATAGGCAAATGAAAAGTTGATGTTTAAAGTATCGTGAATTCTACATGTAATGGAAGAAGTAACGTCTATGGTCATCTATGCTTACTAAACCTTTTATGTTTGGCTTTTGATTTGAGCATAATGTCTCTCAAACAAATTGCCCAAAGTGACGCAACGCAAAAATAAGGAACTCATTTGAAAAACTTTTAAGAAAACAAATTTTGGAATCCGCCAAATTATGAAAAATCAAACTCATGAATTCTATTAATGAAAGATAATAAAAAACAATGAGACAACTCTTTATTTATAAGGGTTTACATGAAACCTAATTTAATAGGACTAAAATTAATGAAAACCTAGTTTAAACAAATTAAAATTAAAAAAAGATTTTGAAATAAACTAAATGACAAAAATAGGCTAAAACTTTAAAAATTAGTTTTCTAGTTCTAAACGAACTAGAATGGCCGAAATTCATCATACGTCGTGGCACAACGATGAGTATTACTCGTATTGTCGTCCTCTTTCCAGAATACTATTATGAGCCCAAAATGGAATTTGGATGTTCTCTTTGCACTATTACTTTTTTCCCATTTTGATCCAATTCTTAAATATCACGAAGCAAAAAGGATACTACTTTATATCATGGTGTTGTGCTATGGAAGTACTTTTCTCCATAAAAAAATACTAATGTTTGGTTGTATAACTTTGCGATGTTCACTATATTTTTATATAATTTTAGGCTAAGAAAAGGCCTGCTACTGACTTCATGGAAAGGGTCCAAAGAGATATCAATCCCAGCATGCGTGCAATTCTTATTGACTGGCTTGTTGAGGTAACATGTTTTTACCTTCATGTTGAGGACTTGATACTGTCATCTTTAGGCATTGTCCTGTTGATTTTAGATTTCAAAAAGTGCGTTCATGATTGAAAATACTGAAACATTAGGGTAACATGAATCTTTAACATAATTCTTCATTTATCCTGAATGTAAATCTTATTGTGTCTAATTACAACTTTGAACTACAGGTTTCTGAAGAATACAGGCTTATTCCAGACACATTATATATGACTGTCAACTATATAGATCGTTATCTTTCAGGAAACATTATGGACAGGCAAAAGTTGCAATTGCTAGGCGTTGCTTGCATGATGATTGCATCGTAAGATTCAGTATTTTGTCTATTTTCTTTTTTCTTTCACACCTATGACTCTGCATGAATTCTTTCTCTACTCTCTCTCCCTACATGTCTGTGTGCACGTGCCCGTTTGTACATATACACGTCTTTCCCTTTCTTGTGAAGCCAGAGAAATCAATGCATTTATCACTGCGGATATAAAATTCACAATATGAGATTGTACTTCGCAGCAAATATGAAGAGATTTGTGCACCTCAGGTGGAAGAGTTCTGCTACATAACCGATAACACATATTTTAAAGACGAGGTATGAGTTTATTTCCAGGAAGTAGAAATTTACTTGTAGATTTGAACTGTAACTAAGCAGTTCAAGCCCTGCAGGTTTTGCAAATGGAGTCTGCTGTTCTGAATTATTTGAAGTTTGAAATGACTGCCCCTACAACTAAATGTTTTTTGAGGTGATGATTGGATTTATATATACATCGGAAGGAGTAAAGTTTAAGATGCTCTTGGTGTTGACTTTCTTCTCTTCTTGTAGGAGATTTGTTCGTGCTGCACAAGGTGTTAACGAGGTATCATCTCATTTAATTAAACGTAGAATAATTACTTATGACAGTAGCAATCAATTCTTATTTGCTTATTTCTGGTCATTCGTTATGTTCCAGGCTCCGTCCCTGCACTTAGAGTGCTTGGCTAACTACATTGCAGAGCTGTCCCTTCTAGAGTACAATATGCTTTGTTTTGTCCCATCCTTGATAGCAGCTTCATCTATTTTCTTAGCCAAATATATTCTTCTCCCTTCGAATAGGCCCTGGGTATGCTCTAGCATGTTGCTTGGTTTCTTAGATTTTTCTATAGTATTTCCATTTCTGTACAAGTTTTCTTTGATCATAATTCAACTCTTGTAATGTTAATGCAGAATACAACCTTGCGACATTACACTCTTTATCAGCCCTCTGATTTACGAGACTGTGTTCTGGCATTACATGGTCTTTGCTGCAATAGCCACAACTCTAGTCTACCTGCAGTCCGGGAGAAATACAGTCAGCATAAGGTATACAAAGTTTCTTATCCAAGTCGAAAAAATAGGAATACTGTTCCAAAACTAGGATTTCTAAATCCCGGGACACTAGAACACTTGGTAGTGCATTTTTTTTCAAGCAAGTTCTAGACTTAAGCTTGAATACGTTGCTCTGCCCTATTTGAACTAATGCGTTCCTGTTGTGAATCAGTACAAGTTTGTTGCAAAAAAGTACTGCCCTCCATCAATACCTCGAGAGCTATTCGAGAACTTAAGCAGCTAGTCTCGAGGTCAAGTAGCTGTCCCAATGCTCTGTTGGATGGATGGACTTCATGCGTAGATCATCTTCTACCAACAGCTCCCCTGAACGGAGAAAATGCAGTTTGCTTCCTCCTCATTCATCTTGATGACAATACATGCCAAATAATAGGCCGTCTGGGAGTTGCGCCGTAATCGTGTTACCATTTATGGACTGATTTACCATTGTGTGGTGCAAATTCATTTAGTTTTAGAATTACCCTCAGTTGTATAGATGAGTTTTCTTTTAATTCAAGGAATTTGTACCTGCCAAAATTTAGGCCCGAGGTACTTCGAAATCATGACAATTTCTTCTACAAAAGGTTGTCTGCTTTGATAACAATTATAACTACTACTTTAAATATAACTCTCCCTTAAAATCTACTTATAAGAGGAGGGTGATTTTTTATTCACTCACAAACTATGCCTTAGCCTCCACTTGGGGAATGGCAGAATCAAGATTTTTTAATTTCCGCATTGTTGCCATTCCCTAGTTCGTAAATGAGGTCTACGGTGATCCATGTTCTCAATTAGGCAGCTAGATAATTCTATTTAATTAATCTTCTACTGGAAGTAGTCCTCTCATGTCGTCCCTTCAACAAATAGGATCATACTAGAAGGGTGCTTTGATACCAATTGTAATTACTCAAAGAATTATCCCATAAAATTATAAAGAGAATGTGCTCAATAAGTTATAAACTTATAAACAAAGGTGAACTTAACGATGTGAGAAATAATCACGTCATTAGAGTCGTTTCATATTCTTTTCTTGATATCTCTATTCTTGATTGTGACATGCTCACTCAAGAACCGTCAAGTCTCCAATGACAAAGAGTTCGGCAAGTTTAGTGAATTCCACTAGAGATGATTGGGTGCCGCGATCAAACTTCGGAACCAATAGTGTTTTGATTTCGAAACTTGACCGTTGGAGCTATTTAATAATCGTTATAGTCTTTTAGTGGGCCATCACATATATAGATGCCCGTTTCCGATCGTCCAACGTTGGAAGAACAAAATTACTGTATTTTCCCTTTTTGACAGCTTTCTTATGGAAATGACAAATCCTAATTTTCCAACTTCAGAGTTTCTATTTAGAAGTAAATATTATATTTTAGGCAAAATTGCAAAGTGGGTCTCTACCAGCGGCCTCGTCTGAATAACAAGTTGATCGTCTGCTAGATTTTTCATTATTCTAGCTATAATGAAAATCATTCATGAATGGTTGAAGCTTACAAATGAGGGTAGGATTGATATCTAAAGACTTGATTTGAGTCATTTTTCATGAGGGTTATAATTTAATGAAAATTTTGACAACTTTTATCATTGGAGATTGATTGTGCTAATATAATAGAAGTATCGATATTTATGTATACGTATATGCAAGCGTGTCTTAATATGATAGACTCGAACCTAAGATGTTTACGTATACGTACGAGCAAGCGTGGTCGTGGTACATTACACAATCTCAAAAGAATAATCCTTGTCGTGGTTCTAATGCCAACTCAAGATAAGGGAGAACTTGATTTTTTTCTTCATAAAGAAGTTTATACTTGAAATTCCATTCTTTCTCTGTCCTTTCATTTTCATAATAATGACAAACAAAAATCTGCAAAAGTGACTTATTTTCAAGATTTAAAATTTTTTTATATTGGAAAAAATTCAAAAATTTCTTCCCAGTATTTTTCTTTTGTTGTTTGTTAATTAAATTTTTCTTCGATGAATTTACGAGGGAAAAACATATTTCAAAAGAAAAGAAAATAAACTGGCCAACCAAAGGCTAATAATTTTTTTTTTTTAATTTCAGTTCGAAATAATTTAAATACACACAATACTAAAATTATTTCATGGATAAGCATTTCTTATTAAATAATAATTTTAGTTTAAAAAATTAAATTAAATATTTTCAAGTTACATAGAGAAGCATTTCTTTCTCGTTGTCTTGAGCAAGAAAATGTTATTCGCTAAAGGTTTGTTTGTTAAAAGAGAATTGAATACTATCATCCATTAAATTTGAATAACAACCTTAATATACTAAAATTTTTATTCATTATTCGATGTACCTATGAATCTATGATCATGCATTAAATTCGCAATAATTATTTTAAGAATATCAAGTTTTTAGTGACACAGTCAATCATGCTCACTAACAATGGTAGTTATTAACTTGGATTATTGTAAGATAGCTGTAAATATTCTTTCCAAGAATTGAGGTTATCAGAGAGTTCAAATCTTTAATTAATATAAATAGAAAATTTATATAAAGTGGCATATTAGCGAATGTTGATTGGCTCCTTAACAAAGTGCAATCAATATTTGAAGTGAAAATGTTGTCTTCTTGCCAAGTATATATGTTAAACAAAGGGAATTTCTTCACTAACATCATTATATTGATTATTGCCCCCAAGATAGTCTTTTGCTCTTTGCCACCCCCACCGAGCGCCAACCCCGGAAAATGAATTTCTTGAGCCAAAATCATAATTTTTAGAAAAGGGATTTGACTATATATCAACTCAAATCGAATAGAGTAGAGTAGTGAAAAATAATTCAAGTAATCGTCGTTATATATGGATGGTCGAGCACATGTCCCTTTTTACTCGTGTTCTTTCATTTACGAATCTTTTGTCTTCACATGTCGGCAATCAAAGATAGACTTTTTATTGTAACTCTACGAGAACGCGAGAACGTAGATACCCATGCACTTGTAAAAGAGGAATGTTAAGACAAGACTGCGCAAGTAAACTTTGGAAAATTCCCTCTCTTAATAGCCTTGAATTCCTCAGTCTTCGGGAACCAGATATGAGAATAGGATACTAAATGTCCCTCTCTAAATGCCAATTATTTGTTCTAAAAAAGAGACTTATTTGACTGATAATTGACAGGCTTTCTTGATACTTATTAATTATTTAGGGAATTAATTATTGATAATGGAACCATATTCTTTCTGATAAAAGGATGGACCAGAGGCCATAGAAGTGCTACTTAAAAGAGACTGATTGAAAATTTAACTTATAAATAGTGCTAGGAATTGATCGAGGAATGGAACACAACACTCCATTGATTTCCTCTCCACACATTCTTAGTGAAGTTTCCACTTTGATCAAAGGAGGAGATAAGGCTAAACAGTGACAGTAAGAATCCTTTTCTTTTTCGTCGTTTTAGCATTTTGAAATTATTTACAAGCATATTATAGTATATTTTGTTATGGTTACTTCTATGTTAGTTTCATTAGGGTGATTAGTTGAAACTTGTATGTTAAATGTAAGTACGACCTTGTTTACTCGAATGTAACACTGTCAAACAATAAATGACCATAGCGTCGACCTAAAGTCGAGAAGGTAGATAACTAGGGAAGTAAGGGGGATGATTTTGTGCTTGTCACATTAACAGTGGAGTCAATATTTCTATAATCTATATGCTTTTTGGTGGTGGGGGCATTTGACAAAACGTATATGGCCTGTTTAGTTCATCTGTGGAAGACAGTAGAAAAGATATTAAATTATTTTATTTCTTAAACACGTGGCGTACAGAACGTACCATTTGTGGTGATTTTACCTTAACCTACTTGCATGACGTTTCTAACATGTTTCTCTTCTTATATATAACCTGCCTGCCATGGCTTCTCACAAGTGCACATTCTTCTGCACTAAATCTGAAGTGCTTTAACATTTTCCTTCTGCTTATCATATCATCTGACTCAGATTAAATAATTTCATCTGATTTTTTTCATTTTCTCAATTTGTTTCAATCAAAGATGAGTGCAAACAAGGGCCAAAACCACCCCCAAATCTTTGATGTCTCCATCAATGTGCAGCCTCAGATTGGTTCCAAGTGTTTTGATGATGATGGGCGCCTCAAACGAACCGGTATTTTTCTTCATTGAGAAACAAATACTGAGTGCATGTTTGTCACGCAGTATTAGAGACTGAACTTTACAAAAGAAAAAGATTATATCTTTGTTTTTAACTGAATTTTCTTGTCTCGTATTTTTCTAATAGGAACTCTATGGACTGCAAGTGCTCACATAATAACTGCTGTAATTGGTTCTGGTGTTCTGTCCTTGGCTTGGGCAGTAGCACAGCTTGGATGGATTGCTGGTCCAACCGTGTTGCTCTTATTCTCATTTGTAACATACTACACCTCTACTCTTCTGGCAGCATGTTACCGGTTCGAGGATCCCGATACCGGGAAAAGAAATTACACGTATATGGATGCTGTCCGAGCCAACCTCGGTAAACTTTTTAACATGTGAACTTTTGTTTAAAAATAGTTCATATAGCCGAACCTATATTTATCATGAATAAGATTTAGCTTATTGCTGTTATTACTAAAACTTTAATGTGACACTTGTTTGTTTTTGGAATTTCAGGAGGATTCCAGGTCAAAGTTTGTGGAGCAATTCAGTACTTGAATCTATTTGGAGTTGCTATTGGTTACACGATTGCGTCTTCTATAAGTATGAAGTAAGTACGAATTTGAAAGTGAAAAGCGTATCTTTTAACGGATAGTGTAATAAACAAGATTTTAACTTTTTTTGAACAGGGCTATCAAAAGGTCTAATTGTTTCCATTCAAAAGGAGATAACAGTCCTTGCAGAGTTTCAAGCAATCCTTATATGATTGCATTTGGTGTTGTGGAAATACTTTTCTCCCAAATCCCAGACTTTGATCAAATATGGTGGCTTTCAATTGTTGCTGCAATCATGTCTTTTACTTACTCCACCATTGGTTTAGGCCTTGGAATTGCAAAAGTTGCAGGTAAGAAAAGAATCTCGAGAAAAAAGAAGTTAAAATCTTGTTTGTTGTTCCATAAATGTCTTGATTTTCAACTGCTTTAAACCCGATTCTTTGTTTCGTTGCAGAAACCGGGATAATAAAGGGAAGTCTAACTGGAATAAGCATAGGCACAGTGACTGAAATGGAAAAGATATGGTTAAGTTTTCAAGCACTTGGAGCAGTAGCTTTTGCCTATTCTTACTCCCTTATCCTAATTGAAATTCAGGTACAGTTTATATCCCTTTTTTCACCTCTATCAATTAAAACTTCTTCTGTTGTTACGTCCTATATCGACTGATCTTTATTGATTCGATCATATATATCAGGATACAATAAAGTCCCCACCATCAGAATACAAGACAATGAAAAAGGCCACTCTATTGAGTGTAGCAGTAACAACACTTTTCTACATGTTCTGTGGCTGTTTTGGCTATGCAGCATTTGGTGACCTCTCCCCGGGAAATCTCCTCACCGGTTTTGGCTTCTACAACCCCTACTGGCTACTCGATATAGCCAACGCTGCCATAGTCATCCACCTTATTGGTGCGTACCAGGTTTACAGCCAACCACTTTTCGCCTTTGTGGAAAAAACATCAAAAGAATGGTTCCCACAAAGCACATTCATCACCAAGGAAATTGATATCCCTATCCCAGGATACAGTCCTTACAAAATCAACCTTTTTCGATTAGTATGGAGGACAACTTTCGTGATCATAACCACGCTAATTTCCATGCTGATGCCATTTTTCAATGACGTTGTGGGAATTCTAGGCGCCTTTGGGTTTTGGCCTTTAACAGTATACTTCCCTGTGGAAATGTACATTGCGCAAAAGAAGATAGAAAAATGGAGCACAAAATGGATATGCCTACAAATACTAAGTGTTACTTGTCTTATTATCTCCATTGCTGCTGCTGTTGGTTCCTTCGCCGGCGTTGCTTCTGATCTCAAAGTTTACAAGCCTTTCAAGTCTAGTCGCTGATTTGGTTCATCTGAAGATTGTAAAATCAAGAAATTTACGAAAATCAGGGTTTTAATTCTTGTTCATGTTTATAGAAAGCCTAAAGGTGTACTTCTTCCTTTGTTTTTAGTCCATAGTGTAATCCCAAATTAGTGTCTGTTTGTCTACCATTATTGTGATGAAAATGGTGTAATGAATAATATTTTTTGGAGAATGTGTGGTTAAAATTGAAAAAAACTTTATCGGTTTATGTGTAGAATATTTTATTATTTGAATGTGTGGTGGAGATTGATTACTGTAGAAAATAATGTTGTGAAAATGGTAGACAAACAGGGGCTTAGTTTCGCTGTATCAATAGGAAAAAAAGAAGGCAAGGCCATGTATGCATTTTGTTATTTGGAATCAAAACACTTTATTTTCCCAGGCATGCAAGTTTACCTCTATTAGTTTAAAATTTAGGCGAGACATGGTCATTTGAAATGATACGAGTGCACAAAAAAGTGCTTGTTTCAAGTTGTACTGCTGCTCATTTATGAAACGTTAAATTCACTTCTTGACCTTTTCACCAATATCTTATTAAAAGCATGTATTTAAGATTTTTTTTCGTTTCTCAAAAATTTAATGGTTGTAATTGATAAATTTTAGGCCATATTAACTATTTTGATTTCTCACGATGGCATTCAGTACAAAATTTGCTATACTCATAGTAGGACGTAGGGCTGTAAACAAAAATCGTCAAATCGAAAAATCGAACCGAAACCGCATTTTAGAAACCGTCGATTTGGTGCCATGTGGACCCGTCAACGAAATGATTTTGAACCAAACCAAACCGGTCAAAAACGGTTTGGTTTGGATTTGAGAATTTTAATTGCGATTTAAAACCAAATCGGATCGGCGAAAAAATATATAAAAATAAAAAAATGAAAATTTCTGAAAAATCCAAATATGTAAAATTCAATAGTTTTGTCATGTGTGAATATTTTTATCAATTTCTAATTTTCTATTACACATATTATTATTACCCAATAATCCTAATTTATATCTAATAATCTCAAGACTAACCTAATCTATCAAAAGCCATTTTCCTCTTTAGAATTCATATGAACTTCAGCCGACACCCGACACAATCTTGAGCCACCAACATCACACCAAATCGTAAAAGAGATTTTGGGTTTTCGGTGATAATATTTGCTACGAATAAAGTTTCAGATCAACAATTTTTTTGAGCAAACTGCGGTAAGAAATATGAAATTATATGGGTTTCACATTTCTCTCAACTATTGGATAATGTTAAATAAATTTATNCTTGGATTTTGATCCAGTAGGCGTACAAGTTATCATTTAAGGTGTTGCCTTATTGATATCTCAGTAACTGTATTATGGAACTATATGCTCTCAAATAAATATTTAGTTTATCGTAACGTCTTAGCCTAAAAATGGTGAACAAAAAACTATTATTATGATTTCACTTGAATTTAGTTGGCATTTAAATTTATAGTAGATATATTTAGTTGTTTTAGATTTATTGCTAGTAAGATATAAATATATATTGAATTCAACGAATTAATGACATAAAAGTAGACAGACAAAAAAATATACGACGAAATTGACGGTTTAAAATCGGACAAAATCGTTAGGTTTATGTTTGAGTATTTTTCAAACCGTTCAAATTAGTTTGGTTTGGTTTGGTTTGATTTAGGTTTGAGTTTTTCTTAAATCGATTTAAACGATTTGGTTTGAAAATCTGTAAAATCGAACCGCTTACACCTCTAGTAGGATGGTTACCAAAAGCCCAAATGTACGGGTTGTTAGTCTTGTATTTTCTTTAATTTTTTTCTGTGTATCATGTTGAAGGTCATCTTTATGTCCCTTTAACATTCGCTACCCTCATAGTAGGTTGGTTACCAAAAGTTGCTACTCTTTTATTCATTAAAAAAATTTAGGGCCTATTTGATATGGAAAATTTTCCATGGAAGTAAGAACTTGTTTTCTATTTTCCAAGTTTTGGCTTGTTTGATTGCTAAGTTTTCCTTAGAATTGTATTTTTTTCTTTTTTTGTTTCCACTCACACGTGCACAATTTCTTGATTTTTTTGGAATTCTTTTTCCCATGGTTTGTGTGGGAAATGGTTTTCCAACTTTATTTATTTATTTTATTTTATTTTGCAATTGGAAAAAATTCTAGAAACAATGGTAAAAAAAAAAAAAATGTATCACTTTTATTGACAATTTTCATACAAAACAAAGCCAAACAAATGATATTTGGTATGGTAATTTTATTTTATTTTTTTTTTTGGCATTTGGAACAAATTTTAGACCAAATGGTAAAAAAATTATCACTTTAATGAACAATTTTCATGAAAAAGGAAGTCAAACGGACACCAAATTTTCAACATTTTTCAGGTAGAAAATTATACCAATCAAACACAATTAATTACAATTTCCAGTAAAACAAATTCTAGACAATTCAATTTTCTATAATTCATTTTCTTTCCACTCAAATTTCACATTTGTAATCAAACGAAAACCTTATATCAATGTCAAAATATCATAACCAAGTAACCAACTTAGGCCCTTGTTGAGCGTGTGTATGTGTGTGTGTGTATATATATATATATATNCTCAAATCGGTTTAAACGGTTTGGTTTGAAAATCTGTAAAATCGGACTACTTACACCCCTAGTAGGATGGTTACCAAAAGCCCAAATGTACGGGTTGTTAGTCTTGTATTTTCTTTATTTTTTTTTGTGTTATGTTGAAGGTCGGCTTTGTGTCCCTCTAACATTTGCGACCCTCATAGTAGGATGGTTACCAAAAGTTGCTACTCTTTTATTCATTAAAAAAATTTAGGGCCTGTTTGATATGAAAAATTTTCCATGAAAGTAAGAATTTGCTTTTTATTTTGCAAGATTTGGCTTGTTTGATTGCAAAGTTTTCCCTAGAATTGCTTTTTTTTTTTTCACTCACAGGTGCACAATTTCTTGATTTTTGTGGAATTCATTTTCGCATGGTTTGTGTGGGAAATAGTTTTCCAACTTTTTATTTATTTATTTATTATTATTATTTTTTTTTTTTGGCAATTGGAAAAAATTCTAGAAACAATGGTAAAAAAAATTTATCACTTTTATTGACAATTTTTATACAAAACAAAACCAAACAAATGATATTCGGTATGGTAATTTTTTTTAAAAAAATTTTTTTGGCATTTGAAATAAATTTTAGACCCAATGGTAAAAAAAATTATCACTTTAATGGACAATTTTCATGAAAAACGAAGCCAAACGGACATCAAACGTTCAATATTTTCCAGCTATAAAATTATATCAATCAAACACAATTAATTATAATTTCCAGTAAAATAAATTCTAGATAATTCAATTTCATGTAATTCATTTTCTTTCCACCCAAATTTCATGTAATTCATAAAGTATCTTCATAAAGTAATGGTGGCCAACTAGCCATGATTTAGGGTTTAGTGGTGGAATTATTAAAATTCTCAATGACTTGATTCTTAGTTGTCTACTTCCAAATTTGGAAGAAAGACAAGTTTGAATCCAATTTTATCTACTCTTTTTATATATTGATGAAAAGTTGATGACTTCTCAGTTGTTTAATTTCAAATTTGGGAGAAAGCAAGTTTGAATCCAATTTTATTAAGTCTTTTATATATTGAGAAAAGTTGTTGACCTCGTACATAACGACTAGAGTCCTATGTTTTAATAATGACTAACCAGAAAATTGACGTATTTGATCTCAATATCGACATCACCTTTTTTCTCACCTCGGCCCTGTTTGGTCCACATTATTTTTTCATTCTCATTCTTCTACTCATTTTCGACCACACATTCTTCAATAAAATAATATTTTTCATTACATCAATAACTTTTCCATTTTTTTCAACCACATATTCCTCATCACATCAACAGTAAAAATACATTCTTACCTTCAAAATATACACCAAACGGGGGCTCAGTATCTCAACGTGGATTATTTTTATGGAAATAAATTTGCACTTTCACGTCTCCTCAAAAGACTACTATGGGTACCAAAAAGATTTTGGGTCCATTTATTGTGTGCTTGGGAAATGCAAGATCTTTAAAATTTCGAATGCTTCAGCAATTATGGTTTGTTTGATCCACACTATTTCTAAAATACATTTTTTCTTTATTTTTTTCAACTACGCATTCATCAGTAAAATAATATTACACGAGAATCCAAATTTTTTTCTTATTTTTTAACTCAACGTTCTCCATTAATCTACTATTCAAAAATACATTATTTTCCAAATGATGAGGTTCAAACAAGAAACGAAAAATATGATATATTACGAGTTCGATTTAATTGTTATACCATACTAAAGTTTAAATTTTTGAACTCGATGTCATGAATGAAATATCTTATATATGTCCCAGAATATGATAAATATTAATGAAGTGTAATGATATTTAATAAAATAAATTTATTTTATTGTTCTGTTCAATGTATCTAAGGACAAAAGCAATTCAACCATTAAATACTCGCACTATAATTAATTATTATGCACGTGTGGTAGTAGTGGCGGCGCCGCCGTGGCCGGTGGTGGAAGCTTGGCCCAATCACCAAACGAGTTTTTTAAAGTGGTTCTTTTTGCACATCTCTTTTAAATTTGTAAATGATGAACCACTAAACATAATCTCTCATCACATTGCATGTTAATTTTATATGAAAATAATTGCTATAATTAATATTCGCTAAGTTTCATCTTAAAATTTAATCTTATTGAGGAGATTTCAGTTGATTAGTATTTTTATATTTAATTGATATAGGAATTGATATTGATTAGAATTTTATATTTAATCTATTTAGGAATGGACTCGTTTGAGAACGTCATCTTGAGATTTTGATGGCAAGGGTGGAAAATGATGTAAAATAATTGCCTAGAAAATATTTTGTAGGGAATTATTAATTAAGTGTGTTTGATGATATAATTTTCCACCCGAAAATTTTTTAAATTTTCTATTCGTTTGGCTTTGTTTTACATGGAAATTGTCCATTAAAGTGATATTTTTTTTTCAACAATTGGTTATAAAATTTGTTTCTATTGCCAAAACGTAAATATTTTATATGGAAATTGTCCATTAAAGTGATATTTTTTTTTCTACAATTGGTTATAAAATTTGTTTCCATTGCCAAAAAGTAAAAAAAAAAATCCTAAAAATCATTTTTTCATCAAAATTTAGTATTCGTTTGACTTTATTTTACATCAAAATTGTCTATTAAAGAGGAAAAAAATTTATCATTGTGTCTAGAATTTTTTTAATTGCCAATAAAAAAAAAAAAAAACCAAACCTAGAAAACACAATTCCCACCAAAATAAAAAGAAATGATTTTCCTTAAAAAGTGAGAACAAGTGAGCATGAGGGTTGAGTGCGGAAAAATTATTCAATGGAAAATTTGACCTTTCAAACACCCAAAAACTTGGAAAGTGAAAAATATTTTCCATTTTCCATGGAAAATCTCACCTTTCAAACACGGCCTAAATAATCGTTTGAACTTTGAATTAGTCAAATTACTTATTAGAATTTAATGAACTCTAACACCATACTAAGTCGTAAAGTTTTATTTCAAGAATCATGATCGTTGTACATTTTGATGTACACCCTTATTTAGACTGCCACATGACATTATTTTATTTGGAAAAAAAAAAAAAAAACTGTTTTTTCTTTCAATAATTTTTTTGAGAACACTACATGTTAAAAAAAACTTTTTTATGTTACTAGCATGTGTCTGTCTATCATTCTTAAAAAACTTTTTTTTTTTTCTAAATTTTTTTTTAACTACACATTCTCATAATAAAATATTTTATACGTAAATCCAAAACTTTTCTCAACATTTTAATCATACAAACTCCAAAAATTCACTATTTCAAAATTTATTTTTTCCCAAAAAAAAAAAAACTCTTCTTAATGGGCATAAAACAAGGGCTTAATATCAATTTGTTTCAAGGGTAATTAGCACATAACATCTCCATCTTTCACTATTATTGTGGAAAATGTCGTCATCTTTCATTTTTTTCCATTTTCACCCTTATTTTTTCACATTTCATTTCACAAAATGTCTTTTTTATCCATTTTTTCAATTGAAAATTGTGACATAATGAATATACACTTCTATTTAAATAAAACAAAAAGAAAAAGAAAAACTAATTGTAACAATAGTCCCATATATTTTAAAAATTGCAAATAAGTCTCAAATAAATTATAAAAATGGTAATGAGCAAATAATGTCCTTACCTTCACTATTATTGCGAAAAACGTTCATACCTTTCATTTTTTTACCATTTTCACACTTAATTACATATTTGATTACGCAAACATCATTTCAATCCATTTTCGTCCAATTTCTCAATAAATAGTTGTAAAGTGATGAATATACCATTTTATTTAAATAAATAAATAAATAATTTTTTTTTCTAATTTTTACTAATTTATTTGAAACTCATTTACACTTTTTTATTTTTTTTTTTAATTTCTTGTTTTTTAATAAATTTTATTGGGACTCATTTGCACATTTTAAGAAAATTTGGGACAATGATTGCAATTAGTTCTTTAGTTTTTTTATTTATTTAAATATGAGGGTATCTTCTTCCTTTCACAACTTTTTATTGAAAAATTGAGTAAAAATGGATAGAAATAATGGTTTACACAATCAAATACATAATTAAAAGTGAAAAATGACAAAAAATAAAAAGTATATATGTTTTTCACAATAATAGTGAAATGTGAAAATATTAGTGTTAATTACTTTTTTAATAATTTATTTGGAACTTATTTTGCACTTTAAAAAAATTGAAATTATGATTGCAATTAGTTTTTTCTTTTTCTTTTTGTCTTATTTAAACAGAATGATATATTCATTATTTCACAATTTTTAATTAAAAAATGGATGAAAAGAACCTTTTCCGTAATGAAAAATGAAAATAAGGGAGAAAATGTTAAAAAAAAATGAAAGGTAAAAATGTTTTCCATAGTCAAATGTAGCTAATTACCCTTTCTTACAAGTTGATTACTGAATGTTAGATACATTGCAATTTTATCACTCTATTCAGATTCGAGATATTGACTTGAATTTTGCTACTTTTACAAGGTGATAAAACTGTAATAAAATGAACACCCACCAACTTAAACAAACATAGACCTGAACGGAGCTATCGAACTGTAATAAAATGAACACTGACCAACTTAAACAAAATGAAGTTAAACTGCTAGTCAATTTAGTGATCACGTGTGTATTTATAACTCAATTAAACTGCTAATCAATAATGATAACTCAATTAGAACTAAGAACATTCAAATTTAGTACATTAAAAGCTCTTTCACTACTCTGGAATAAAAACTCATCCATTGTGAATCATATGACCAATTGATACTATATGCTAAACCATTAGACAAGCTATTCATCACAATGAGTGAAGCTACTAAAAAACAGAAATCGATAAAAAGAGTTTGCTAATATATACTACCTTACGAATGGAATACCCAAATCGAGCAATGATATCAGCTTGGCTGCACGCTTGGAGGAGCTGCAGGCTGTAGGTTTGACTTGACGGGAATAGTTGTGGCCACTTGTTTATGGGGTTTGTGACGTTCCTCCACCAGTGCAGAAGTAGACTTCTCAGGGTGGAAACCTTCGACGAATGATGTTTCTTGTTTCCTCTTAAGTTTCTTTTTTGATAATATGTCGGTTGCCCCCACATCAACGGGATTGCTGGAGTGTCCCTTCGCTTTTTCTTGTTTCGGCTTGTCCAAGTTAGGACCATTTGCAAAGGTAGCAGGCATGTGAACTTGAGCATTAGCTACTGCTGCACTGGGGACTGATTTGCTGATCGAACTTGAACTGTAATCACGAGAATTTGGCACCAATATTTCTTGCATGTGAAATGGCAAAGCAATGTTACTAGCTTCTCCTCGAACAGGCTCGTCCACCTTTGGTGCCAGCTTCTTCTTTTTCATTTTCTCTTGACCCTAAGCATTATTTTCCAAAGATCAAGCATAAACTATTACAGCGTGTTTGGTAGGGAGTATTCAGTAACATTGGGCAATCCATAATTCAAAAATGTTACTAAAGTCAGACGAAATTACACATAACAGATCCAATTTTAACTAGAAATGGAACTTTCACTACTTTCTTCCCTGTATTTCAAGTCAACATTCTTAATGTCGTGCCCAACTGTCCAGGATGGCATGCATTTACCTTTGTTCCTAAGAATTCAAGCCTTATAATTGAATTCCCATGTATGAAGGTGAATTATTTCTGCTCGTGTAAAAATTAGATTAACAAACCTCGTTTGTAAAAGTAATATTTTCCTGGATCAATTGTTGCCCCTATCTTCATTATTCCTAGGCTGACATGGCGTGTAATTTTCATTTAACAAAAAACCAAGAACGATGATATCATTTAATGAAGGATAACCGCTTCCTGTTATATTTAGTGCTTTCTATGAAAGTTGATTATGCAAGTTTACATATTTGCATATAGTTTTAACATCAAAACCAATAAAAACAAGTACGAAAGTTTAAGGGGAAATGTTATAAAAGATAATCTAATGCTAACATCAATGTAATGGCATTTGATGTATCTAAGCAGCACGTTTTTCAATAACAGCTATTAATGAACCCCATTCTCGAACAGGATTTTAAGCACAACCACAACAAATGAGACAAAATAATTTGCTGGTAGATATATCAATGCATCAAAGGTAACATAAAAATAGCTGTACAGTTGCCCCAGCCCCACCGAACACTCGACGGAGAGGCGATAAGGCAAAATGAGATTTCTTATCACAAAGATATTGAAGTACGCTACCGACTGTCAAACCATGGTATCAATATTTTTTTTCTATGGATATATGAATTTCTTTATTAAAAGGGGTAGACCCTCATATACAACATAAATATAGGCATCTCAAACATATGCACGCACACAATTATGGCCCTAAATAGATATGGCAGAAGTAAAATCTTTCAAATTTAATAAAGCTTGATAATGCAAAAATTTAGAAATACACAGAAAGGTAATAAAGATGATATCCATACCTTCTGTTGGCTGCTTAACACCTTCCTCCTATCTTTTGCTCTATATATAGCACGTTTAATGCCATGGGTATCCATGCCACTAGGCCACAATGCTGCAAGCTGCATATGAAAAGGACAAAGATCAGAAAAATAGTCATTACGAGTGGAACAACGATATTTGGTGGTCACAGCAGCTATTAGATCACCAAACAATTGAAGGATATAAGCCAAAGCCTGGACAATCTAATAGATAATTGATCTAGCAAAGATCCAAAAGTGATTCAAAAATCCATTATTGAGAAGTGAGACTCCATTTTCCTCCCTTGTTTTGACACAGAAAAATGTAGGAGGGAGTGAGTAGCTTCCTCACCAACACTACACCAGGAATCTCCACACGTGGGCCAAACACAAGTGTTGGTTCATGCACATCAATTACTCGTAATTAAGACGTTATTTAAATGAACGAACATACAGAAAATTGCAACGACAGAAATCTTAAATTCTCGTTTGTACATATAATGCGTCTCTTCTCACGTAATGTGGGGAGTTTCATTGACTAAACACAAGGGACATTCTGCGAAAAAAGCCACGACTAATGCTAAAGTTTGATTCAAATAAACCTATTTCAATCAAAATAACTAGATCAATCACATGCCAACTACCTCTTCATACAACCTCCTGACTGGTGGACCCGGATCTTCTTCGAACCTCTGAATGAAAAAGAAAGATCAAGTTAGATATTCTAGATTAAATTCCAATGAGCTCAGCTAGAACGAGGGAAGCTTGATCTATTACTTCAACATAGAGGTCATATAGGTCACAAATTTTATCTTCCAATGCACTATCGATGCGATATTTTCTTTTCAAGGATTCTCTTGCTTCTGGACCAATTTCTTGAAAATCATCTGACGATGCAGTTTGTTGCTCAAGTAACTGCATAAAATATCTGACATCAGATATTAACATAAAATCAAAAGCAATCACAGATTGTGTACAAGGCCAACAAGCTTCCAGGTGTGTCATGGCAAAACAATCATTTCAAAAACATGGATTTACAATAAAGCATATTGCATCTCTCTAATCTAATGGTTGATTTCCCTATACTTAGCCCATATTATATAAGATCACATAAAAAATATTTTTAAAAAACTTTTCGGTACACAAAACCCTAGAAAAATCTTACCTTAGGTTTCACCAGTGGAAGCCGCACCTTAACCATCTCTGCAACTTCTTGTTTTATGTGATGCAATCGATCATCTTTCTCTTGCTTAGCTGACAATCCCATCGTGGCCATGATTTTTAGATTTCTCTGTAGCAAAAAGAGCAAGCAGAATAATCAGCAATTGTGGGATAATAGTAATAAATAACAAGATAAAAGAAACATTGCAATAATCAATAAATGCCGAGACAGTAAAGAATCTGTAGAAAGTACAAAACATCCAAAATGGTCAAAGAGAAACTCCTCCATATTCAAAGTTCACCCCTTCCCCCCACCCGCCCCCAACCAAAAAGAAAAATGAAAAGACCACCTTCTGTTTAGAAAAATGGATATTAAACTATCATAATATACTGTTGTGACGTCATTCTTTTGTGGGAGAGAGCATTTGGGAATGGCATGAAATTATTTAATGTAAGATGCCTACTAACAAGATGAATAACAAATTTCAATGCTTCAGTCACGTTGAATAGTGTTGCTAGTGTACAAGGTGTGATTTTCCCTAAACTGCTTAAAAAGTATATGCGTCAAGCATTTAAGGGGAAACGAAAAAAAAAATGATGGCCGAAGTCTTATGCTATGACACCACGTCACAATTCCAAGGTTAACTTTTTGGTAATAATGGTGTGGGTAATAATTGTAAACTCCTATTGGTAACTTTGGTGCACGACTCGTAAGTGTTTAATTACTCCATAGTGGGTATCTTATTCACGTACAAAACAAATGTCAAAAAAGTAGATTCCTCCAAATCTAGGGTGCACCACAAACATGGGACTCGAAGAAATAGACAATAATATTGAAACAGTCCTTATAGCTAGCTATTTGGTTTCTCTATCCATTTAATAAAGTATTTGGCCGAGTTTAATAACATCTACCTAACACAAAAAGGTTGGTTTCCCCAATCCTATGTGTTTTACAGGGTCTTATTTTAGCTTGTTTGTCTAAGAAGTCTAATTTCCACCACTATGTCCAATTCCATTCCATGCCATTGCTTACTGACCTATTTCTATATTCCATATGTAATCCAAGCTAATAACACCAAAAATATCATTAAAATACTTTTCAAATAAGATATGTACTTTTTGGTTTTAACCCTATGAAAATACCGTATATAAAATTTTCAATTTACTATCTACGAATCTGTTCCAAATCTCAATAAATTCCTAGAGTTTTAGATGGAATGGGGATAGTAATAGCCTGCATTCCCACAATAGAACGCAAAAATGTGGATTTAGGGAAGATCAATGAAGTTCGAACACTCTTACTGGGGTGGCGCGTTCAGAACATGCATCCCACACTCCATGTGGGTGGTGTGTCCTTCTCTTTATATACTTCTTAAACTTCAACACTTTAGGGCTACCCCTCGGACACACCTCAAGAACGTTCCAACAAGCCATGTGCTGTGTTCTATACTATTCATGTGATTTCTAAATCTTGCCCTTATTTGATCCCCATTATTTCCAAAATACATTGTTCTTTGTCAATAAAATAATATTACACGCAAATCAATTTTTTTTTTCGAATCACACATTCTCCATCAATCTACTATTTCAAAATACATTCTTACAATAAAATGGGTCTCAAACAAGCACCTAATACACGAGAAGCATGTCCTTGACGCATCAAGGATACAGACAACCAAGTTTGTAAATTTTAGGCAGTAAAATTAGGAAAAGAAATTAATTCGTTAAGCCATTTAGGTTTAAAAATGAAACCTAAAATAATGTGAGGTACGTTTTAAGAAATTCATATCATATTTGTTTAGTATGCGATATTAGCATTTTTCTTTCTCGGACAATAGTAATAACTAATTAAACCAGAATTATCTTTATACAAAATAGCCCATCGTCTAGTTCAAAAATTTCATCAACAAAACAAAAGATGAAAAAGTATTGACTTTATTGAAAAAAATATTTATCATATAAACGAATAATTTTAAAGAATTTAATAGCAATGTCCCCATGTCTGTGTCCTACACTCTGAAAAATCATGTGTCGACGGTGTCGTGTCGTGTCGTGTCGCGACCATGCTTCTTAGGAGTAGATTGATCACAGGAAAGATGACATAATTTCAGTTGGCAAAATAGTGCGTGAAACAGTACATAGTTTATTCAAATTTCTTTAAAGAGTCTCCGAAGTCAAACATACCCTAAAGTCGAAACAAACACCTTGATCTTTTAATAAATTATTAGCATTCTTCTTTTTTCCCTTATTTTTCTAGTAATGATACCAAGGCCAAAGAGATTAAGAGTCCCCTTATCTAAGTTAGTATTTCTACTACTATACACCAGGATCTTGCAAACTTAAGGAAAACAGGATTGACAGAAGTACATTATTTAGATCCCATAAATGAACAATATCTGTAAACTCCAAAAACGTACAAGATAGCAATCCAATCATGTCCCAAGACTTGATTATGACTCCAGGAAATTTTTGGCTTTATGAATTACTTTAATTGAGAAACCGTTAACAAAACTTGGCCGCCGTCAAACTGAAACAACACACTAGTGATAAGTCAATTTCTTACCGAAAGTCTATATAACATATTCCTTCCACGGAAGCTTGATGCTTTATTCCCATCCTTTTTAAATTTCATAGTTCTTATTTTGTGCTTACTTTCAGTATTATCCCAATTCAATAAAATTGAAGATTAGCAACTCCAAGGTCAAGCCAAAACTTGGTCTATACAGAACAGTGTACGACACCCTAAATTTATAATATCAAAAGTGTACTGGTTTGTGTCCAACTGGACCGGACCAGCATGATTGAGAATGGGCCAGCTGTTCGGTACGATCGAAACCCTATTTAACATGCCTGACTCAAGCCCAGACCGATATCAGAGAATGTGCCGAACTTGATTTTGACATATACAAATAAATTAATACATGTGGATCATAAATCAAAAATATTTTTAAGGACATAATTTTAAAGCTTCAAGTATTGGGCCAGTTGAGACACAATTGGACAAGCAATATGCTGTAAAAATGATTTTTTTTAAACCAAGATTTACCATGGAAGCCATTTGACTTCTTTTGAGAAAGACAGCAAGATGACTAATCCGATGTCTGACTTGTTGACTTCAAGAGAGAGATGAGAAATTTATTCAGCTATCACTACGCTTTAATGGTTTCAATGCATAAAATTGATAAGTTCGTAAATTTTCAGAACAGCTCCCAGAATGTTTTTAAGTGGCTATGTTCCAGGAAAAATTTAAACATTCATGGACAAAGTTTTCCTCTAGTACGGCTTTACCAAATTAGACCGTGCATCAGCCACACTGCAGTAAACCATTAAAACTGGTTTGTTCTCTTACTAAACATGAACTGAATATTACTAGGAGCAAAATTGTTCCCTCAAATAGACATATGAAGACACTCGCAGTTAAAATGCAGGATACATCATACATATACAAACAGAGACCCAAGAGAGGAATGCACGGGCAGCAGAGAGAGCAGGCAAAACAAAACACAGTAATTATTCATATAATGGTTCTTCGTCTAAAAGAAAAAGATACCTTTAATGTCCTAAGTTGCATCAAGTGTCCAACAATGCTCATTAAACGGTTAGTCACATCCTTTGATATTTTTCCATGGCTTGCCTGCTGCAGCCAGCCCAGAACATATTTAACTTCTCTAGAAGTATAGCATAAATATATAGGCACAAACCGATTTATTAAACATAAAGACAGAGATGAGTGAATAAGACTATTAATCGCTCTCTGGTACCGCTAATCTAGCAACTTTAGACAGCTTCTGTTTTATTTCAGGTGTCAATCTCCTCTTTACTGCCTGAGATGGATTATCAGCATCCTGAACTTCCGAAGATGGTGGTCTTGCTGATATTTTTAAAACCAAAAAAAAGAAAAGGATAATTAATTACTACGAAACTCACATTATATCAGGAATGAAAATTAAACTGGTAAGAGAAATAGTCTAATACATTCAGCAACTGTCTTCTCTAACTCCCTGATGGCCTTGTCTAGAATTGTGCTTTTCGGTCTAACAGTAGATCCTTCCTTCCTCTGCAGGACTGGAGCCTTCTACAGAACACAACATAGCAGGGCCTTATTAATTAGTAGATTAATGAATTGAGAAAGCAACAAAATAGGTATCTACAGAAAAATGTTTAAAACTTCATACTTTCTGCGTAACAAGGAATCTGCAGTAATATTCAAGATAATGCAAGGCAATAAAGATGGAAGTAAGTCTACCACGGACAACATGCACAAGATTATCATAAATTATGAATCTCAATAAATGCTTTGATTTATATTATGGATCATAAATAAAGCCCCAGACAGTGTAAGAATGCAGCAAAATCAATATTACTTGATTTTGTTCATGAGAAACCATTGCTACAATACAGCAAGAACAATAAATACTCACCACTGTTTGCAAGCAACTCCCACTTGAATGAACATTAAGGTCAGGTTTTTCAAGAACTCCACCTTTTTCTTTCTTTTGAATGAATTGACTTACCTCATCACTGCTGTTTACTGGCATTCCAGATGGAGTTTTGCTAGAATATAAACTTTTATCATTTGACATCTGAGTTGATGTATCTAGAGATTCATAACCCTCTTTTGATTTGTTACCATGGTTCTTTGATGAGACAACTCCAGTCCTCTGCTGATCAATGTCCTTTTCCTGCCTGATACCATCACCATTTGACAGTTCTGAAGCACCAGATGCAGTTTTAGTATCTGCAGTTTTCTTCTTTACTGAAACTTCAGCAGCATTTGTCAGAGCCTCAAATTGCACATCTTCACTTCGTACATTTGGTACCGGCACTTTGTGTGACTCACTAGTTGAGTTCCTTTCCATCATTGATGATGCTTTTTTACCCTTATTCCCTATCTTTACATGTTCACTAGGATTAGGTCCATCTCCATTGTCACCAGGATCCTTCGCCAGGTCTTTCCGTCTTCTCTTCTTCAGCTGCTGGTTTGGCAATGATGTAGGTTCACTGCTAGAAAAATAAAGGTAAATAATTCGAAAGGCCAAAATATAGAGCTCAACAGATCAACAATCAGTGATAATGCATTCTCTTGGAACGGGGAAACCCGAAAAGGAACAAATTGTTGTTGAAAAATAAATAGATAGTTATTTGAATGGATTTCAGACACATAAAATCCATGAGAAACCCAAAAAAGATAATTGAGTGCATGGCACAAAATCATGTAGCTAGAGCAGCATATGCTTGACGATAAATTCAAGGCTTCAAGCCACAACTCCATAAAAGAAACTAAGCTACTTTTCTAAGAACAGAAATCAGTAACCATGTTGTTTACGCATGCAATGATTTCGTAAAACGCTCTTAATGTTGTGTGTGTGTCAAAAAGCTTGCTCTTATCAGCCTTGTATAACTTTGTGTGGCCTTCCAATTTCTCCTATTAAATTTGATTTGGACAAGAACGCAGATCTGCAAATCCTAAAATAGAAGCCAACATCAATGTCCATAAACTACATATATGCGAACAATAAGCATTCTATTTATTTGTGATTGATTGAGTCTGAATTTCGGAATACAAAACAAGATATTTAGATTAATTTCTCATTTTTCCAAATTCCTATTGCAAAGACCAAAAGAATTACAAATATGTCAAGACCAGTTGCATATTTAGGTTCTCGATTATCATATTGCAATTATGTACTAGATTTTCTACTTAAAAACATCTGGTCAGATAAATTTAGAAATGTAAGGGCATAGAAAACTTTATTTTCAATAACAATATAGCATAATTCAATGAATAAAATTTTGCATCAAAAGAGTGTCTCAAAAACTCACATGCGCTCCAACTTCCCACGATTAACAAAAAAACCATCATGTTTTATTGCTGAGTTATCAACCTGGAAATAGTCATCCTGCACAAAAAGTTAAGATTTTTATTGACTTATTACAAAACAAATAGATTAACCAATACGACCAGTTTAAAAAGAACTAATAAAAATGTCAAGTACAGCTAACTGATCAAATTACCCACCAGCTCAGTATCATCTATAAAGGAATCCTCTGTATCATATTCATCGTCATCAGGCACATCATCTAGAACAACATCTTCCTCGTCACTACTTCCATCACCCTAGAAATTCCATGAAAAAATAACATAGACAAAAATAACCCAGTTAATCTGCAGTAACATGATCGAGATTGAAACATGCTTTAAAATTGGAACTTTACATATAACTAACGAATAAGATGTTAAAACAGATTGCCCTACATTAAATGTTTTTTGCAATAACAATTTATGTCACATTAATCCTTTGAAGAATACACGCTAATACCCACTAAAAATCAAAATTAAAATTAAAAATAACATCCATACAGCACATACCGCATACATGCGCTCAATTCTTTCAATCACGTTACTCAGACGATTGGAGCCGGGCTGTGCTTGTGAATCATTAGTTCCATTTTCGCCAGATTGCTTTAAAGTTGGAGCCCCCGATGGAGGCGCAGGTACAGGATCAGGAACAGTGTCATGGGCCTCCGAGGCCGGGCCGGGCAATGGACCACTCCCTTTGATCTTACCGGCAGCGGCATCTTTGAGAAGCTTTTTCCACGATACAATTGTGGTTTCGCCTGGTTTCAGCTCCACCGTAAACCGTAGTCGGCCGCCGAATGATTCATAAATGGCCTTGGGTTTTGACCCGTGACCCGATTCGGGTCCTCCGCCACCCCCACCGCTACCGTCACCGCCACTGCCTTCGGTCATGGAATTAGAGTGCGGTGATAGAAGAATTTATGTATTTAATAATTGATTGAAAATTGGAGTTTGGATTTTTAAGGGAGAGGAGGAAGAGAAAAGAGGGAATTTTTTATAAATGAGAAACCCTAGGTTTTGGGGAAACGAATTGATTGTAAAAAGGTCTTTTCGTTGAAACTGAAGTAGAGTGACGAAATAAAAATTATTTTTTCTTCACTCGAAATTGGAGTTAAGCTCCGGTCTAGGCCTTGTTTGATACACATTATTTTTTTCATTCTCATTCTTCTACTTATTTTCAACCACATATTTTTCAATAAAATAATATTTTCCATCACATCAATAACGTTTCCTTCATTTTTAACCGCACATTCTCCATCAATTTACTATTCAATAATGCATTCTTTCAAAAGAATGTGTCTCAAACACACTCATAGAGCTTGTTTGGAAGGGATTTTTTGGAGAAAAATTGATTTTGAATAGTGATATGATGGAAAATGTGTGGTTGAAAAAGAATAAAAAATTATAGATGTGATTGAAAATATTATTTTATTGAAAAATGTGTGGTTGAAAATGAAAATTGATTTACTGTAGAAAAATTTAAATCCCTCCCAAACAAGGCCTTAATATTATTGTTTGGGTAAAATGAGATTTTAAATAGCGATTTTTTAGAAAAAAATGTACAATGAAAAAGTATGAAATTTTTTTAGATGGATGTATAAAATATTTTATTGTGTGAATGTATTGTTGAAAATGAGTATGATATAAAAAAATCAAATAAGTTGTGAAACAGGGGCCCACCAAACTTTGGCCATTGTAATGATTTAGTCACTGAACTTCACAATACTTCTCATGGCCACTCAATTTTATACTTTTGCACCCCATCATTTATCGGACCAATTTCACTTCTCTATTCTCATACGTGAATGACGGAAATAATATATGGTATTTAACTCCGTTGATTATTTAAATGAAATGCCAATGTGGAGGACAAGTCAGCAAACCGTATAATCCAAACACACCTCTCCCTTTGTGCCTCCTAGTTCATTCCAACATCTCTCCATCTCTAACATGGAGTACAAAAGCAGCAAAGGCCACAATAGAGAATCGAAAGAGGCAAATGCATGACGAACCATCTGCCAGAAAGCACCGACAAAAACCCCAACCTCTCTCCATCTCCAGCATGAGGAAGCCCAAGCTGTTCAAGAAATGGAGTCTGGTTTCTTTTATAATTACTAGTCAGACGCACGTACAATGCACGTGCTACCGGCGTAGTTGGCTACTTAATAGAGTAGTTGTAAAAGATTAATGAAACAAATATCAATGAAGCATCGAAAGACAGATTTTATCATCCATGTACAAGTGAAATAGCCATGTTTTTAAAACCTTATTTTTTTTCATCAAAATGCATCATGTTTATGATGCGTGCAAACAGAGAAAACCATGTAATACTTTCAGAAGATATTGCTTCATGAAATCAAGTTCGTGACATATGACATGAATGTTTATTATACAGTATAACAACTGGACATTCAAACATATGAATTAATATGTAGTTTTGTCAAATAAGTTATTTCAACTCAAAAGCATATAAATAGCAAAACTTGAACGACAATTGTGGGAGACATTCAACATTAGAAAAGTAACTTCTAAACTTCCATCAGAGCAGCATGACAAAATGTTAACAAAACATAGAAACGTAAATAAAAGTAAGGCAACTCTAAGAATCAGCAATAGTAACCTCGAGCTGGACCCTTAGTTCAATGGTAATTGAAGTAATTTGTTTAACTACATTAGGTGAGCATCAATCAATCCCTTGTGAACTTGGATTTTGAATCTATCCCATGTCTTTCTTTGTACATTCAAATTAAAATGGTGGTCTCTGAAGAAGCAACTACCTATAGTATATATAAAATGGAAATAATTTCAAATGGAAAAACTTTTCAAATGTGAACCGGCATTGAGATTGAACTTCAACAAGTTACATGTCCCACAATAAAGTACATCCTTGAAAGTATGTTCAAATTTGATACAGTGTTCGAAAGCTGGAAATTATAAACACGCTTTCTAGTATGTACCTAAGCGTGTTTTTATCATTTGAACCCCACAAAACGGCTCACTCGGCTAACGCAGCTCAACAACAATAATAATAATATACAGTACCAGTTTAGGTGGTTATACTTATAACATGTTTGATACTCATTCTTCTAAAATATTTTTTCTTTCTTTCTTATTTACAATCATACATTTTCAATAAAATAATACTACACGTAAAATAAATAATCACGACTTTACGTTTCACAATGAACATAAAATTATTTTTGACATCAACAACAAATTTTTATATCGTTTAAAACGAATATTCGTAACTTAAAATACTAAGTCAAACTTAAAGGAAAAAAAAAAGGCTTAGCCAAGCTGAACCATATAGAGAAAAAAAGGATTGGCCGAGTCAAGCCATAAAGCCATTTAGAATCAAATGTAAAAAAAAAAAAAAAAAAA